ACACACACACACACGTATGCACTCATGGACACACTGCACGCCTACATGCAACTTGGGATGTGTATGGATGTATGCGTTGATTCAGGCACATATCTGTGGCGGTAAGTGAAGTCTTGGCAAGCTGGCCAATCAGGAGCACCGCCTGCCCCTTCTCCAGAGGTGGATCGGGAGCGGCCTGACATTCACGAAGACTCTGTGAGGCTTCAGGGCGGTTGCAACATGGGCTGAGGGGTAATTTCGAGTGTTGAGTGAGGGTTTAGGGCTTCAGGGTTTGCGGCTTCGGACCTCACAGGCGCAGGCCCGATAGGCAAGGCAGGATCCAGAACAAAAATTCCGCACCGCAAGCTTCAGCGGGTCAAGAGTGACGAAAGCAGAGAATCGGAAGATTCCGGCTTGAGGCTACACCACTTCCATCCACTTCCTGAGACCCCAGCGACTGGTGCCGGGAAGTGTATCTCAGGTATGATCCTGAAGACAAGTGGACTGTGTAGATGTCTCGTCAAACAACTCCGGAACTTAAGGCGAACATCGGCATAGACGCCACGACCGCAGACTGAGAATAGATGTGCCATCAATCTCTTTACATGTGGCCTCGCTTGTCATCGCTTTCTGCATTTCCCTGCTTCACGCTTTTCACGGTTTCAGTCTCGGCACTCGTTCGGTCTGGCTATGTCCGCTTGTGTTTTGTGCTGTACAATGCCCTGTGACCGCGCGAGAAGGGGGAAGTGGGAAGAAGCGCGCTCATTCAGTCCAGTGCTGCCAGGAAACGGATCCGGAAAAGACATCCGAGGCGGTGGAGACTGCAGTGCAAGTGGCAGGACGCAGAGATACCAGGTGTGAAGCTGAATCATTCTACGCCTCTCGAGCCTTGCTCCGCTTCTTTGGAGAGTCCTAGCCACACGAGACATCGTCACAGAGAGTGCTCCAGCCAGCAGAACACTCGAAGACACCCTCTGCACCCCCTGGTGCCCCCCTAAACCCCAAACCAGGTGGTGCCTCCCTACCCTTCGGGCCCGTGGGTGTGACACCCAACTTGCCCGCCACGAGCTTGTGCCTCGAGGGCCCGAGTTCAGGCGCTGTGACACTGCTAGGTTTCCTAGTGACTTCATGGGTCTTACGGTTTAGGGTTTAGGGTGTCTGTCTGACAACCTACCTGCCTGCCTAGCTAGCTACCTAGCTAGCTAGCTATCTACCCTTCCTGGTTGTCTCTATCTCCCTGCTCTCCCTGCAGTTTTGCAAAATCCTTACTGCGCCCATGACGCAGATTGCTAAAGATGTATGGCACTTGGAGAGTGAAGTAGGGGGTAAGCACATGATAGAGAGAGAGGTACATATAATATAATATATATATATATATATATATATACATGCATTAAAGGAACCATTCTTGCTATGGCCTCAGGATGTGCTGGCACTATACATACAGACCGAACTTTATTGCCTTGTATTATGCAGCTGGTGCATGAGACAGAGTCCACAAGCAGCGCAAGCAGGAAACCGAGGAAGCTGGCATGTCTGACGTGTCCGGGTCAAACTTGAGGTGCTGCGCCTCACTTTTTGGATAATCAGAAACTTTCCGGAAATTACGCATCTACTGACAAGCGGTTGAAAGGCTTCACTCGGACCACTTGCAAATCACTTGCACTGGTACCCTCGCTATGCGTCGTTTTGTGGGGAGTGTTCACGCGAGGACAAAGAACACAAGAACCACAATCCCGCCTCCGTCAAGTCCCGGTACGCCTTTTTCCAGTGTCCGAGACGACCTCTCACCGGCACCGTGTCGTGAGCAGCCCCGTTGCGTTCGAGTCTCGGCTGTGCATGTATCCTTCTATGCATACATATGCATACTGTACGCAATATACAAATAAATAAATATATATATATATATGCGTTGATTTGGGTGCCACGTCGCTGTGTGCCGATGGAATGCTTCCGAGGGTCGCGCGATGCGCCATGCCGCGAAGGCGGTATGCCTCAGGAAGACATCTGAAAACATCACCAAGAGTGTGAAAAACTGCGAGGGAACATGCTCCTGCATGGAGACGACCCGGTTTGATACATACCCAGCCTTCACCATGTGGTTGTTGATTTTCAATGCTGCAGTGCCTCAGTGGAGAACAGTCCCACATGCTCTCAGTCTGCCGCAGTCTCCCTCAAGATTCCAAGGTTCCCCTCCACAATTAGATATTACAGGCCCATTGCCTTTTCCAATTTGGTGATTGGGAACCTAAACGGTGAAGATGATCCCGGAAGCCCAAAACCCTCAAACCCTAAAGCCCCAAAAACCCTCTTGTTCCCAGCTTCCTTGAACCTGAATCATCAGTGATGCCCTTCCTGAATTTTTGGAACAGCAATACAACACCAGGATAATAGTAAGACTGTACATTGCTAACATGTACTTTAAAGTTTGTACTACTAACCAGTAGAATTCTAAACTATTCCTACTAAAGTATAACAGGCCGGTACGGGCTCCCCTGCAGTCCCGGATCGCTGCACAGGGCCGCTTCATCTTCAGCAGGAGCGCCGAGCCTCGGGGCAGAAACAAAGGGCCGTCGTAAAATCAGGATATCATTAGGCATCATTAGGGGTTTAGGGTCAGGATATCATTAGATTTCATTATGTAAAAGTTCAGGGTTTAGGATTTAGGACTTAGATAACCAACTTGTTTCCGAAAATTTGGTATGTTTTTGGGCTTTTGTGAATTATTCACAGTGATAAGAGGCGCCGGTAGGGTTCGGGCCTAGAGTTGCTTATTGGACGTGCATTTTTGCTTCAAGGTACTATGATTAGGGTTTGGAGTTTCGGAAGTTCAGTCTTCGGGGTCTTCGGGATACAGTACTCGGTGGTCTTCTTCTCTCCGGCTCGACTTGTGGCCAATACCTGCAAAATGGGGATTGCAATCGCGACTTGTCGATTCTCCGCATGAACTGCTGCGCATGCAGATTCGGTGGACTTCCCAATTTAATCCTTCTCCACTCCTCTTTGCGTACACCACGTCAAGAGGAAATGGGTAAAGCGGTAAAGCCTCCAAAACCAGTGTGGAGACTAGGGAGGGCATGCGGGTCTTGGTTTAGGCCACCGGCGGGTGCAGAGCATCTGCGGATTGGAGCCCCCACTTCTCATGGCCTCTCAACGAGCGGTCCGTCTTTCGCCGGTGCGAACCAAAACATTGCGTGGTGGCAAACACACAATTCACACTTGATAATGTAGTCTGCACTCCCGGATGGATTCCTTCAAAGAGGTACATGAGTTAGCTACAAACAATGTAGGTTGTGCATCAGGTCATGAATCACGAGTCCTCATGCCTGGAACAAATTGCTGCAACTTTACCTGTAAGCGTTATGCTCTCTCAACGACCTGAGTGGCAGGTTGCTGCTAAAGTTGCACAGCGAGTATATCACAGGATGTCACCATACACAGCTTGTAGTACGACTGTGTTACAAACGTTCTGCAGGTACACGAGTCAGCGTCCTGACCCGCTTCACAGATGCAATGCTGGCGTCTTCNNAGTCCAGCATGCATCCCTGGCACCCCCTTCTGAAATTGTTTCGAAGCAGTGACATCCTTAGGCGTCAAAGTGCAAACACTCGCAGATCAGTTGGAGAGTGGCCTCCCTAAGCCCATGAACGAGGACCGTCCACCCACACACACACACACACACACGCGCTCGCAGCCAACATGGATAGCATCAGCCAACTCAAGCCGAGCAATCGCTCAGTCTTTGCATGTGTGGTCTCTTCATGCGGACCTCTGTGTACACATTGATCGCGCCGGTGAAGTCCCCAGCCTGCATGGCCACAGCCTGCGCGAAGGCACGAGCAAGAGTTGCCTGCTCTGTCAATTCATGTTGCTTCTGATACTTGTGCATGATAAGTCTCTGTGGTTCCTGTGGCTTTCACTGCGTTCCGGCAGCGGTGGCCAAGCCAGGGCCCCGGCGGCGGCTTTCTCCGCGTCGTGGCGCACCTGCGCGCTGGTGTTGGCCTGAGTGCCAGCTTGGCTTCAGGGCTTGGGGTGCGGCTTAGGGCCCTAGGGGAATACAGGAAGAAGGGGGTTTCCAAACTGATGAAATTTGGTCCCGCACCGGTGGGAAAAGCTGAGGCCATGCCTCGGACTCCTCACACCGGCTCGGCCCGACACAAAGTGCAGCTCACAAAGTCTGCTTTCGGCGTGGTCCTTCGGCAAGCGCTCGGTGTCGTCGAGGTCATCCGGCTTCACCTCCTGGCGAAAACGAGGCTTCCCTGCTCCCTGCGTGAAGACTTAGAGCGTAGACAGCAAAAGTGGCAAAGTAGCACAGCGGCTGGGCTGGGCCCTTTCTTTCTCGACATGACGCCGAGCTTTAGACTGAGTCTGTTGCCCACGTTTTTGAAACAGTCTACAACAGTCAATCTGCATGTTTGGGCTCCAGGTACAGAGCTGTAGGACTGCAGGGTTTGGGGGTGCGTATGGGTGAGTGTAAATGGAGGAGTGCTTTGTCTGCATCGTTTGCTTCGCTTCCCCGGTGAATCCTCGCTTCCTGCAGATTCTTCGGGTGCAAGTTGGGGCAGCTGAACGGTTCTTCTCCGTGGACCGAGTTCTCCCCACACTCGCAGCCAAGAACTTGTACGAAAGCCCGTGCTGCAAAGCCTTTCGTTCTCGGGCCTGCAGAAACACGAGACATTGGGACTCAAAGGCCTACTGTACTTTTTTGGAGTCTGAGCCCTGCAGGGTGAGGATACTCCTGTACCCTGCGAGCTGAAGGAGCTCTAGGAGAGTCCTTGGAAAAGCTCCCTGGGCCTTAAACAGCATTTCTCTGCCAAAGGGATCCCGAGCGCGATTCAAAATACGAATGGACAGATGGCGATGGACCCGATGTCCATTCACACCAGAGCTTGGCAGGTAAAGCAACTACAAGATAAAATCACGACGTCAAGAGTCGGTCAGCGGACGAAGACACGATGGTCACCAGGACTCCCACCAGGACATAGGTGCTCTTCATGACCTGAAGTAGTAAGACTAAGCTGCAGAAGACATCGTACCAGCTGAATCTAAAGGTTCCTGCTTGATGTGCCGGCAAAGGACTGCTGCGGGCGTCACCCGTAAATCATTGATGAAAAAACCGATGTCGCAGCGCGACATGAAGGCCAAAAGATCCTCAAAACGGGGGAGGCTGCCATAAGTACCGAAGTTACGGAGTCCAATTCCCATGGCCTGTGACATGGAGTTGTCCCATTCGCTGACAAGCATAGAGTTGGCCACTTGTGGCGACTGTTCGCACTGCCTCAGCTCGAGCTTGACAGGCGCTTGAGAGAACAGTGCACCCCAAATCGATCGCCATCGCGATGCAAGCAAAGGGCAAGCTTCCATGAATCAGCACGCCTTCTGCTATGATTCAACCGAGGGTCTGAGTCGTGCTCGCCGCCGTCACCAGGGCATGAAATGGCATCAGCGACCTTGGCCGTGCAAATTAGATAATTAAAAGGTCAGCGCAATCAGGCTCGGGCATTTGCCTTGCACCAGCGTTGCCTTGCTGCTGTTCTCGTTCATCCAAAAGTGCAGGCAGGTCGCGTTGCAAGAAATGGTAGCAGGCTGAACAGCATGTCCACAAGGTTGCCTTGCTGCTGCTTTAAGGCTCAGGCAGGATCTAGGGTCTCTTTGAGTTTCAGAAGAGGGTTTAGCCGGGCTGCACGCTGCAGTGCAATTCGATAGACTGTGCATATAACACATGCTTATCCGAATCGCCTTTGCAAGCCGCATTCCTGCTCGATTTAATACTGCACTTGCTGATCTCGTGCTTGATGTCTTCAGACGGCAGCACAAGCTGCATGAGCTGTTGGTGAAAGCTGTTCACCATTGTTAATCGTAGCTAACAGTTGTGCTTGGTATACTTGTTACCTGGTAATCAACACTCTTCCAATTCGTAGCCCTTCTTGCTGTTTCTCTGGTTGCCGTTAACCGTAAAGGTATCTTGGTTTTTTATATTCGATTTTTGTTTCTGTAGTTGTCGCTGCTGCTGTTGTCGGTACTAGTGTAAAATTCGTCACTACAGCCATTATGCCTTTTTGCTAGCGCGGTTCTTCTTCTGCAAACCGCTCTCCTTGCTCTTCTCCTTGCAGCCACTTTCATTAGTAGCGAAAGCTGTCGTTTCCTGATCTAGTTCAGGGTAACATGGAACAAGCAGAATGCAGCAATGATTCTTGCTTCAGGTTCTACGAGAAGGAATCTGACTGCTTGTGTAGTTTCTTGATCGATCTCGTACTATGCCTTCTTTCCCTGGGCTGCTCTTCTTCTGCTGACTCTCCTCACTCTTCTGTTGCCGTTGGTACTTGTATCGCCTCTTCTTCGTGCATCCGTACCCTGACTGCATAGTCCGTGACTCACGATTTTACGTGCATTCTGTGTTTCCATTGCTGCGTGTGTATACATGCTGTGGGTTATGCAAGTCATAATAGAAAGCCCAATCTTTTGCTCTTGCAGTGCTGCCTCCCAAACGCAGAGAGCTCATATCACACATGCAAAGAACAGAAGTTGAAGGAACGAGATAACAATAAACTAATCCCAGCAACTATCGCTCCACAATATCCGGAAGATGGTGCTGGCAGCCATAACCTGGATTGCACAACGATTTGCAGAATGCCACGCCGCTTTTTGGTGTGTCGAGACTTCATTGCTGGTTGCACGAGGTCGTGCGACTGCTACATTGCAAAGACGGCATCACCGTGCAAGGCCAAGCAGCTGGAATCATGCCAACTTGGAGAGCCAAGGAATACGAGCATCCGTCACACAACGTTCTCACGAAGATTTGGATGGTGTTCCACTCCTGGGCCATGCCTGTCAAACGAGGCACTTGGCCCTAAACCCTAAACCTTAAGACAACCGCACGAACCCCCATGGCTCCCACCTTCGAAGGAAACATCCTCGGCACACAGCTCTTGCATGTATTGAATCCTCGGATGCCAAACTGCATGCTTTGAATGTCTAAGTTGCAGCATGCATGCATCCATTGCTGCCGTGGTGGGGGACTTTGTGCTCCACTCATATTCTGTCGACATGTTTGAAGCACGAAAACTGACACTTGCTTCACAACTTTCGCTGCAGGAGCACTGCTAATGATGGTCGTCACAGCACGTTCAAGCGGAGGCTCAGGCTTGTTCGCATGGCGCTGCAGATGTGACCCACCCGCATGCAAAGCGCACAAATTATACCAGAAGCCAGAATATACGCAATCGCACCTGTGCAGGGGTTCAGGCCCAAGGCCGTGATTGGCGGCCGGAACACAGCGAACTACGCCAGTGCGAGGAATGAATCTCAATTTGAGTAACTAGCCAGTACATGACACGAAGACAGATGTGCCACAAACAGCTTCCAATGGACGATTGCACGCGGAAGCTTGACTGATGGCAGACAGCGGAAGGCCTGTTGCGACCTGAGCTACAGTATTTTGCAGATGCTCCACGTTTGGAAAAACCATCATCACAGTCAGCACAGAGACATCCCAGCCAAGGAACCGTTTGTACGCGCAGGTAGGATTCCACGGATCGAGTCTGGCAGGCCATCACATCACTGTTACCCATGTGCCAAGTCTACGTGTAGCGGAACCAGCTCTGGCAGACGGCTCTCTTTGAAAAGGCGTTCTGAAAAAGCACGCCATCGAACAGCCCTGCTGCATGGAAACAGTTGTTCATCTGTCCTCGTAGATCTTTGTGGTAACCCTGGAGATCACGGAGCATATCCACATAAGAAGCCTTGAAGTTGCACCAGCACATGCGAAACTGCGACAAAACCGCAGTTGACAATGTTAAAGAAGCGACCACTGCAGCTGAGCCTCAGGTGATTGCCATGATCACGGGATATTACCAACCAGGGCTGGGTGTATCCAAAGGCTACCTGGCGGTTACACTTCAGACAGGCAGGGCCTGCTGCTGCGACGAAGGCGCCATGGCCAATACACTAAGGTCGCCAGAGCAGATGAACATAGCAAGTTGCAGAGTGCGCTTGGAGTAGGCCGTCTTGCTCTCCTTCGCCCATCATTGGTTAGCGTGGGAGCATATCAGAGCTGACAGTGCGCAGAAAAAGAAACACAACCGGCGGCACCTGCGGATAGACAGTTCTCGGAAAGTTTGGAGCAGAAGTGGTGTATAAGCAAGCCAATGACAGCACCTAGGCTCGCGAAGCATGACTGCCGGTACACGTGAAGCTGGGAATGTCAACCCCGTTGCCTTCATGCAGGACAACATCAAAACTGCTCTCGACAAGACAAGAGAGAAGGGGAAGCTCAAACAATCCATCGAGCAAGGAACGACCGGAGTCGCAAGATTCTGCCGGCCTGGGGAGCGCACTTGCAACCACGGCTGCGTCCAGTAGGTTTCTTGCGATAAAAACATCGGAGCCCTCCCAGTAGAAGCTGAAGCTGAATGCAGCCTGAGCGAATCGGGCGTAGTCTGTAAGGTTGACAGGTCATCAGCCTAGTCGCATCAGTAGGAACGTGTCAGAAGTCACATGCCGTGTCAGATTGAATTCGTCTGGGTGCAAGTGTTAGAGTGACGGCGATGAGGCTGATGCACCTTGCCTGGGCTCAAGATGCCGTCTGAGAACAACTCTCGGCGTTCATCCAATGTGGCTGCAGATGACACGGCTTTTGTGTTGCTACATCAAACACATGTTCGATGATCTCACGTAGCAGCGCAAACAAGACATTTCTGCTGTGCCAAGCTTCCTGTCTTGGCCTCGTCAAGGTTCGAAGTCCCACCAGTTGACGCAACCACCACAGGCCTCCACGAAAGGACATGTTGTTTTTCGCCATCTTCACCTGAAGCGCACACACACATGCTGCATGCTTCGAGACAATCTGGGTAGCACATGTTCAACATTCTGGAGCTGCAGTTGTTGACAGCCACACACAATCGGAAACAGGTCTCTGAACAATGGTTCCCGTCCCCTCGGCTCCAATACGGCACCAGAGTCTAACCGCATCCTCATGAAGTGCCTCCTCGGCCATCTCCTCTCTCATTTGCGCGGCCAGAACTTTAGCTTGTCTGCGCCAAGCACCTGCAATATGGTGCTCTGGTGCTCGGATCCCCTCGTCGGAGGAAACCGTCAAAGCGGAGCTGTGGCGAGGGATGACAACACCAATCCTAACAACGTCCTTGTCTTCGTGGTAAAACGATTTCAGTTTGGGCTGGGTGCTTGCCATCCGCAAGGGCAAGGTTTTCGCATCAAGATCGTGACGCACTGAAGCGCATGGAACGAGCGCTGCCCGCGGATTACTATCTAAGAAACGTGAACAACCAAACAATGCAGACACTGAAGGATGGAAGTCAAGCAAGTGGATTGCAGCGATTTGATAAGGATGTTTCTACGAGTACTCTGAGGCTGGTAGAATCACATCGGCAATTCCACCAAACCCGGAGAGCCTGACACCGAGTTCGGCAAAACCTGCACGGTCTTGCGTCCGGCTTGTAAGTTCGGAATGACGGTGTTGTGCCGACTGGTGAGGCTGCTTCTCCTCATGGGCAAAATGTCTGCCAAATTGTCTGCCAAGTTCCTTAGCTCAGCTGCGGTTTAGGTGTTTTGGGTTTGGGGTTTCGGGCGTCTGCATGGCCGCCAGGCTGCTCCAAAGCCCCTCCTGAAGCGCCACTCGGACGCAAATGACACTTCACCGTTGACCATGACATGACGCACGACTACTTATACCTCGACGAGGGCCTCCGACTCCGATGTTGGGAATCTCACTCTCCAGCGGTGACTCGCGCAAAGTCATGGCAGCTTTTGCCAGCTTCCGCGCTCTTGCTGGGTCAAAGCCTGACGCGTGCCAACTGACGGTCTGTGAATGCCTTGCGAGCCCATATCTAACTCGAAAAGTTCGCGATCCGGACTATCAAGTTCCAAGAAGCGATTCTCACTCCGCTTGCTCGGCGTGCTGCATTTCCTCCGCAGCGACTGCTTGGTCACAGTCTCTCACTGGGGGGCGTGCAGACGCTGGGAAACTGAGCTCGGTGCGAGGCACCCTTCTGAAGCCTGCGCATGCCGTCATGTGCCATGACATGGCGAATTGCATTCTGCAATGTCATTCCAACACTGAACACTGAACACCGCCGTTAGACAGCATTTGTGTTGCCAGCCCTTCTTGTGCCTGTTGTTCACGTCCCTCTCGGAGAAGTCTGACTGCGAAAGGTCCGGGTTAATGTTCAAGTCGTACATGTTCAGGTCGGGATCGCGGCGTGAGGCACTCGAAACACCGCTTTCCTGCAAGTTCCAGCAAGCAGCTGGCCTACCCACAACATGACAACCTCGGACATCGCTTGACCGCAGGTTGCCTCCTCGGGGCAACACTGGCTCTCTTCCTTGGCTGCAGATTCGCGCAAGCAATGCGGCTGCAGGAGTCTAGGGCATGCTCCCAACTCACCCTAGGTAGGCCATGCATGAAACCAAAACCCTAAACTTCCTAAATAAAAAATCCACCTCTTCTGCCAGTGACAAGCGCCGAGCTGCACTGATTGGAAAGAACTCCGGGCCCCTCGAGCCGCTTCGGTACACACTCGATCGGTGACTGCCAACCACGCCTTCAAAGGATGTAGTGATGCAGTGGCGAAGGGTTAAGGGTTTAGGGTTTAAGGGGTGCGTGTTTACGGGAGCCTGTTTCCCAGGCACTGCACCGGAGAACCTACCAAGGCAGGCCGTTGCAAGTTCGTGCTGGAACCCTGATACCCCCAACCCTTTGGCTCACGTCGTGTACCAGACGCCTTCCTCACTTCGCAGAGGATTCAGACGTTCACCTATTACGTTCTGTCTAAGCTGAGCCTACGGTCTAGTAGGGGTCCAGAAACTTGGAGGGGATTGATATAGGGGCCTTCAAAAGTAGAATAAGGTTTTTGGGCCCATTCTAGTATACTTTTAATGCGGAACCCCAAATAGAATTGGTTATTAGTTAGGCCCTATATTAGGTGTTTGCCAAAAAGATGCCTCGCTGAGCGAACACGAACACGAAGAGTTGCGGGCCAGTGCTGCCTCCCTGAGCCTCCGCGCCTACTAATACGAATGTATATACATAATATATATATATATATATATAATATTATAATATATATATATATGTATATATATGAATAATAATGGTACCAGTAATAGTACTGAAATCATAATACTGTACTTCCCTTCCTTTCCCTACCCTCCTCTTTTGATGGGATGTAAAGATGCTTGTCCTCCGCTTGCGGGGAGGGTCGTCTGCAACAAATGGCGGAGAGCGCCCATTCCACGAAACAGCATTTACCCAAGTGTTGGATCCAGCCAGGCCCGAAAACCAAAGACCAGAACCACGCACTTAGGACTCGACAACTCCGGAAACGTCCGCCTCGAGTGCCTGCCGTCCATCTTGGACTAGGCAGGTGCTCTGCAAGCGGAGGTGCGACCTCAGAGTCCCATGTGCCACCCGCCGTATGGGAAAAGAACACGACGTAGCGAAGTATCATAATGACAGCCAGTGATGTCATGATGTATCATAATCGCATCTCCGAACACGTATTGACGGTAGGGCAAGAACTTCCTTGTAATGCAGAAGTTGCCAGACTGATGAGAGGCCTTCCTCAGGCAAGTGTGGTTCGGATCTACAGTCCAACCCCTTCTCATCAGCTGCAGCTCTGCAATGGAAGAGCCAGAGCCCTTCAACAGCCCCCTCAACTGAAATCTCGAAAGCGACTCCGCGAGACGCCGAGTACAAGGAAGTAGGCATCTGGCAGTTGACTCAGTGCCGCTGGCCACGAGCGCGCGCATCCTCGGATTGAGAGCTTAAAGGGGACCCCCGGAAAGAAACCCAAGGCAGCTTGATGGAATGGGGAGGCGTCGAAGCGAAGCCGGTTCATTGGACGGAACGCCCTGTCTGGAGAGTAGCTGCACATGCCAAGGGTCTTGTCCAGCTGCAGCTTGACCTTGTGGTTTCCATCTCACCCCTCATCTTGCAAGATCAGAGCTCCCAGCCTGCTCGATCAGCGCATCTGCAATGTTGTTTGCGAGCAATGAAACGGAGCTGTCGTCCTGAAGAAGTCCTGAGTAGACGTCCCAAGAGCACGGCGGATGGGATCAACAAGCGAGGCACCAAACCCAACCGCCAATCGCCGCTTCAACGGCTGTAACGGCAGCCAGGAGTCGGTGAGGCTCTTCTAATTTCGGCACGTGTGGGTGCAACATCTGAGGAGGACCTGGGATCCAACTGCCAGAGCACGAGCGGCCTTGCCTTCGAACCGAATTTCGTCCGTCGGACGTTGGGGCTGCGTGTCAGGACCCTCTAAAGAGACACTCGACATTGTGACGAGCCTTAATCATCAGCAAAGAAGTCGTGAAGAAAGACCAGAATCGACGAGCAGGCGATTCTGCTATGCATCCCCTGGACTGTGGCCCTGTCAACATAAGCATGGCCGAAGCCACCACGCGGGGGCAGCACCATGTCAGCCAAGCCGGGCCCCTATGGGGGCCCCTTAAGGGACACGACAGATGCTCGTCAGAGCCAGATCCCGGCTGCAGAATGCTGCAGATTCGAAGGTTCTGTGGCACAAGCCTCTGACAGCTCCCCCGAAAGCAAAGCAAGGGCACCGCCGCTTCGCCACCTGGCCTCATCCTTCAGCTCATCCCGCACGTCCACGGTGAAGGTGGGCTGTGACACCTCAGCCAAGCAGCTTCGGCCGTCTTGGACCAACCAAGAGCCCCCAAGGCCCCGAACAAACTCGATGTCGGAATCGATCTCTTCGACCTGGAAAGCACTCTCAAAACGTAACCCTTTATGCACTTCCACATGCTCTTTCCTGGCTCGGGGCATCTTTAGCACCCGCCGGGGGTGCGTCCGCCTTCCGGGCGAGAGCCAGAAGCTTGGCGAGGTCACTTTCCAAGCTGTGAAGCCGTCCACGGCCTGGTTGGTCATGGCCCCCAGCCAGCGCGTGCGGTGCGCCCTACCCTTGCTGTTTGATTACTTGGATATTGTGCTTCTTGCTGGGTGTCCACTGTCTGCAACATGAGGACCACGAACTGTCTTCTTCCCGTCTCACAGCATGCTCAGCTGAAAAGATTCGCTGCGCACGTGAACATGCATGTTTTTGGACAGAAACTACTCTGCGGGTAGACTTGGCAGCTGGCTTCTTCAGCATGTGCTCTACTCTCTTCGAGCCACGCAGAGACGAAATCATCTCTCCCACCAGCCCCCACGAAAGCGAGAACGACGTTCCAGATAAAACCAAGAAGATGCAAGAAGAATGCAAAGAGAGCCTCAATACCGGGGATGGCAGCTTTGCTTTCAAGATCACTGGCTCTGCGACACCCAAAGCATTGTTTCGTCGATTGGTTGGGATTGGGCGACTTGGGACTGTGCGAAGTAGTCGGTTTCCGAGATCCTCGCTGGTGAAACTCGCACATGGCATGGGCATCGCTGCACCTGCATCCTTCGAAGGAAGCTCTCATCAGCTACGCAGACATGTCTTACTATTCCCACCGCACTTCGAATGCATGGATTGTTCTGTGCTCAGACGAAGCTTCCATGTCTCTCACGATCCGCTGGAGCGAGTCGAGGCCCCCTGGCGTAGGCGACGAAGCCTCAGACGGAGGTGACAGGAAGAAGCGAAGCCTAAGTACTAAGCCATCAAGAGCCTTGATGTGGAATAAACCGGGCCCAGAAACAGCGCCTCCACCCTTTCAGAGAGCTGCCGTCGAAGTTCGGCGATGCCCGGCGCTTCGGCAGTCTCTGCAGGCGCCAGCGAGGTCAAGGGAATGGCAACCTCCGAGGCCTCCATGCCATCCTCACGTGGCCTCAGAGCTCTTGTGTTGGATTTTTAAGCGGCTAAAGAGGCTTTTTCGGGTTGGACCGATTTAATTGGGGACTCCGTGAAGCTTGTCGGTTTATGACGAATCTGCTCTGAGCTGCTCGGCTTTGGAACCACTTAGTTTCCGAAGCTCTCCCTTAAAGAAGGAGAGCTCGTGGTCAGAGAAGCCGGGCTTTGAGAGCTCCTCGGTGATCAGCTGCATCACACCGTCCTTTGCCTCGTGCACCTGAGCTCGACAACTGAATCCTTCAAGCCCAACTGCGCCCAGGCCACCTAGTTCGGAAATGACTACCGGAAATCCCGCTCAACGGCATAGCTTGGTTAAGCCTGGATCCAGAACAAGAACGGCGCCGATCTCTTACCGATGAACCTCACTAAACGACCGAAGGGTGATGCTTGTCATGACTCCTAACCTTTCAGGCGGCGGTAATGTTAACGCCTTCACATCGAAATAGGGCATGTTACCTCAACAACACATGATCTTCACTATTCCTTGCAGTCCTATACTACAAGCTTCGTGGCTAAGGCTAAGGTTTCTTGCGAACTTTTCTTAAGCTGACGACACTTGCCACACTTCGAGGCCAGCCGCAAGCTCGCGCGCGGAAGAGGCGTGTGCCACTGGCAGCTGCTTTTCCCAGCTGCCCAGTTCAACCACGAGGCGGGCAGCAGATGCCAAGAGGGCTTCCGCGCCACGCCGCTGCCGGACCGTCACCAAAGTATATCCCAGCATCCTCCAACCGTCCTGGCCTATGATAGAGTGATCCATCATCACCAGGCACACAGCAACTTCAGCCAGGCCGAAAACATTGAAAATCTTCGGCTCTAACTGCAACTGTACTCTCTGTATCCGAGAAGTGATGGAAAGAGGAAGCAGCGGTCCACACTGGCATTCTGAAGACACCATTTTGCAAGACACTGCTTGCTCTAGCTTGAGCCCTCGGTTGCGCACAGAACCGACATCAATGGTGACCACATACGCGGCACACTGGCGATAGCGTGGGCGTCCTGCCCAAATCTCCTGCTTCTTATCTTTGACTAGAGATCTCGGCAGCCTGCAGAGAAGCGCGACAATGCCATTAGGTGCCGTGGTGAGCAGGCTGTGACCACCACCAATACCGGCGGCAGCAAAGTACTCGCCATCAATCAACACCATGGGGACATCCGAGCCATCTGAGCTTCTGTATACCTCGCTTTAGCGACCCATGCGATCCTTCTACTGAGCCCACAACCACTGTGGGATTTACGAAAGGCCGAGCTGCGACAACGGTATCAGAGCGGGCTTTCTGCTGCCGAGCTTTGCTCTTCGCATCCAGCTTGGCGAGTTCCGCATCTGAGATGAAGAAGGGTATTCCGTCCAGCAACACCAGGCAGCCCGGACTTGATGCACCTGACAACGTATTCAAGGAAAGGAAGTGCAAACGGCCACATCAGGGCACATCCAAGCTAAAACGGCACTACCGTCCACCTTTGCTCCCTAACGATCAGCAAGCGGCTTGTGGCCGCTGCCATGTCAGCGACTGCACAAAGAGCTCGATCTTGATGTTCCACAAGTGTGTACGGTGGACTCGTTAGAAAATGCCTTGAGGCACGAGGTCAAGGGCAACTCGAGATCCGTAAGACTGCAGCAGCTTGCATGACTTGCCCCTACTGGCTTCGATTGCTAGCAGAGGTCCGAAAGGGACGCCTGGGACGCAGCAGAAGAACCGCTACACCGAATCAGTTCATCGCAAGGCCAAGGGTCCCTGGAGCCACTTTGCGCCGACCACGACCGCGTGCAACATACTTGTAGTAGATGGGTAGGGCCGATGCCTGGTGTGGAACCGGCACAGGATGGACTTTGACGGTTGGGGTAGAAAGCTCCGAAATGCACAGCAAAAATCCCTTATTGCGACTTTGTCGGAGGTGCAACAAGCTCCCAGCATCTTGGCAAGCTCCGCAGAGGCTTGAAGGATCTACTCAATGCCATCGCGACGGGCTTCAGGTCCACGCCGTCCTGTGGTTTTCAGCATGTTCGCTGTTCCCTCTTGCCAGCGCAGACGGCGCGAATCAGGCATCATTCTCAAGACGGGCCACAACTAACCATGTCGACGCTTCCCGTGAAATGGCGGCGATGGACTGCTGGGTGGACGGCACGGATGCCTGTCACAGACGGTGCACTGAGAGCTTCTCCGGCTTCCGTGTCCCCTCCGTGTCCTCTCGGCCTCGCGGAGCGGCTTCCGGATCTTGGGGCCGGGGACCTTCTCGACGAAAAGCCGGCAGTCCACCACGCCTCGGGAAAAACCACAGATGCGGAGCTGCAAGATGAGAGTTTCCACGCTGAGGAAGCGTCTGAGGTCGAACTTCAGCGCGGTTGAGACCAGGCTGTGGGGGTTCGCTTCCCCGTCACAGTGGCCCATCACCTACAAGCGTATCTCGAAAGCACCACGGCCTGCAGCGACGTGTCCTCTAACACGGCTCGAGCCTGTGAAGAGGCGAGGTTCTGAAGCGTAATCTCGCATCGATCCAAGACCTGCCGTGACGTCTGCAACAGAAGGGTTGTAGTTGTCCCTTTTTTTCCGGATCACCCATCCCAGCACTTTCTGACAAAAACTTGCCTCGATTTTCCGATGCGACAGAGCTTGAACTTTTCCCAAACCACAAAAAAATCTAAGCTCCAACAAAAATAAACGAATCCCTACCGCCGCGGCCTGGCAGCCGGCTCCTGCTGTCCGAAGAACGAAGGCACACTGCGGCGAGGCACCGTCAGCAAAGTCCGCCCTCACCTCTCAGTTTAAGGAACAGGGACCCTCTTTTTGTTGAATGTCTGTTTAAGGGAACAGGGCTCATGGCTTGTAAGTTTCCGTGAAACCCTGATGGACTTCAAGTGCGCTTGCTACCAGGGCTTCGCTGCTGGAGTCTGGCATGGCCGGTGCGAAGGGGCCACTTGGCAACCGATACCAAGGCCAAGGCACCCATTGTCTGCCCATGGAGGGACCCGACGATATGTAGGTGCCTTCTCCGACCTCGCAGGCAGCTTCACTGAAGGCCTGAACTTTCCGGCTCATGGTGGAAAATGGGATGTCGACAGCATGGAAGCGGAATAAGCCACCCTCAACCGTAAACCCGAAACAGGAAATCCTATGAAGCTCGCAAGTACTGCGGCGAGCTTGCAAGTAAAGGGAGACTCACGGGACGAGACGAATGTCAGCAGGATCGAGAACGACTTGTATCCTGATCAAGCCGCTAACCCGCAACCACCCATGCCCTCAAACCTCAAAACAAGAACGCCCTCACTCTGGACCTGTTCAACACCCTGATGCCCTCAACTCTGCTTACAATCCTTCAACGACGCCCTGCCCTCCAAAAAAACACCGCCCTGAACGCTACATGCCTCAAGCCCTGATAGGACCCCAAGAGAAGAATATAGAAACCCTTCTAAAGCCCTAAACTCTGAACCCTAAACCCTACGCCCTACGCTCTATTTTTAAAAAATAGCCCCCCCATTTTCTGAAAATCCAGGGAGCCTGTGAGCTGCAAACTCCAAGAAAGCATCCCGATCGAGCCTTGGCGAAGAGAAGCACGGCTCTCAGTTGCTGGATCTGTGGATCACTAGATCTGCATTTATACCTGCATCTAAATCTCTATCTCTATCTCTACCTCTATCTATATCTTACAGTATATACCGATTTACTGCATAGTTGTCCACATCTATCTCTGGCTCGAGGCCCGGCCTGGACGGCAGCGTTTATGCGAAAGCAAGACCGCTGCGAACTTCCCTGACAAAACTCCATAAGAAAGTGATCCCGTTTCCAAACATCCAAAAAAAACCCACCAAGACATGACTAAAAATATAAAGCAAGAAATAGCAAAAACTAAAACCGAAACAACTGTGTTCAGGAAGCTTTGTGCCAGAATACTGGAATACAGAAATACCGAAGGACCTCCTGAAAATTGTGCTGGGTTCGTTTGGGATTTTAGTCTTGGTTGTTCTCGGTATTGTTGGCTTTGGTCTTGCTGCATCGTTCCTTCCGGAATCAACAAACTCGTGTTGAAATGAGTTGAATGTGAACGTATTGCAGGTGCACTGAGATCTAGAAGCATCATTCCAATTAACTAGTTCCAAACAGTGTGATAACTGGTAAACATCACGGGGTTGTCAAGATGAAAGCAGAGGGATGAGGATATGTTGTACGCGAAGTATCCACGTCATGCTCTGCATCCCCTGCCGTGCTGTGGCACATAGTTTCCATTAACCGGACAAAGAAAAATGCGTTCTAGTTTGGTGCCTGCAGAACACTGAATCTAGTCGGACAAGGCAGAAAAACATTTTTGTGGTTGCGCCCTGTACACACTCGAAATCCAACAATAAAATGTAGGACAATGTTCTAGTAATGGTGGCTCATAATGCTGAGACTCGTCAGAACTGATCGGCTGGTGGGGATGGTAATGGTACTGGTCTGCGGGCGCTCTCCTGGGGGTATCCTCGTGGGTCTCTTGTTCGCCTTGGTCGTGGTCGCGGGTGGTAGTCGCGCACACGTTTTACATCTTTGGTCTGCAGACGCTACGCGGTCTATCACTGTTTGAGATTTGTGCTGGCACAGTACTTTTGCACTTCGTCACACGGAGTAACACAAAATATCGCGGCGTTTACCCTGAAATTCCGCCAAATGCCAGATTCCTAAAATCCTAAAACCCTTACATTTTAAGTTGTCAACACTTTTGGATACTTAAAACATCTCAATCCTAGAACCCTACAGCTTTAGGGCTTTAGGATTTTTAGGAATTGTCGAAATTTAAGGAATTCTAGGAATTGTAAACTCCCGAACTCAAGGCCTGAAGTCAAAGACTTCGGAAATGTTGGCCTTCCGCTGAAACTTGTAGAAACAAAAATACTAAAATTTGAGGATGTAAAAATGTTGGAGACTTAAAATTAGAATTATGCTGGTCTCAGGCTCCAGGTCCTAAGGGTTGACAATAGTGGTTGTATATGAACTAATACACTACATAAAGGTTGCTGTTACATATATATATATATATACATATATATATATATACACATACATATCTATCTATCTATCTATCTATCATCTATCCAGCTAGCTATCTATCTACCTATCTATTTATCCATCTATCTACCTATCTATCAAGACTGGTTAACAGATACCTCGAAGCATGGATGGATGACTGGATGGCTGGCTGGCTAGCTGGATGGCTGGGTGGATGGATGGATGGACGTAGGTGGCTAGATGACTGGATGGCAAGATGGAGAAAAAGTTACATAAATAGAAAGATAGACAGACAGATAGATAGATAGCAGATAGGTGCATAGGTAGAAATGTCATCCACAGATGATCCATAGACAAGAAGACTGCGAAGTATGTAGATAGAAGCCGAGACAAGAGGCAGACAGGTGGATATGTACAGCTTGACAGATACACGGATAGATGCACGAGAGAAGTTGGTAGAGAGATGGCCAAACATTAGACAGTGTGCATGTCGCATTACACACTTTCATACCAGACATACAAGGACACACAACTAGATATACAGGGGCAAGCGAAATGCGTGCACACTATCTACACGCATGCTTGCATGTTTTCCTACTTGCACACTTAAATACGTCCCAAACTCCCTCCCTCTCTCTCCCTCCCTTGCTGCAGCCTTGCACTCATATATCCATGGTTTTTCATTTGCACATGTATGTATGCGTTTATGTATACACCCCCTGCCTGCCTGCCTGCCTGCCTGCCTGCCTACCTACCTACAGTACATACGTACATACATACATGCATACATACATACATACAAACCAACAAAGGTGCGCCTATACATCTATGCATATATATATATAGAATTAGACATAGATATAGATATACGGACATATACAGATGTGTGTATATATATATATGTGTATATGGAGTCATATAAGTCACATATGTATGGCCCCCAAGGTGCACGAATCGAACCAGGCAGCAAGAAGGCAGATCACGTCTCCGTCTTTCAGTGGGCGGTGGTTAAAGGTCTTGGCATTGACCTGGCAGCCGCTTCGAAATTGTCACTACAGTCACCGGCAATTCATTCACTTCTGCTTGCCCCGTTAGACTCTTCTGCCAACCTGCCGTAGCCCAAACCCTAAACTGGCCTGAGACTCTGAACGCGAACACCCGACCATCCCTAAACCCTAAACCTTGTGAATGTGTGACCCAGGCACGAGCTTCAGCGATTCTGGGGGCCACGAACGCGAATCGGCGGCCGACGGTGCGGGGCCGAGGTACGGGCACAGCTGGAACCTGGAGCTCTGAGGTTTAAGGATGTTGAAGGGCTTGAGGTTCACAGGGAGACTGCTGCAAAAACTTCAAGCTTTCATAAACTCTCAGACGCATTCCAAGTCACTGCTGCTGCAACTGCCCGGGGCTGTCGAATCGGCATCGCACACGGGAGTTCTCAACGTCCATGTAGAAGCCACTGCCAGACCGTAGGAACCTGAATTCTGGAGATTCAAGAAAATTAGAAGCACCTGAATGCGGGGTCATGTACAACAGGGACCTTCCTGTTTCGCGTCCGACACAAGTCCAAAACGGAAACCACAGTTTCTCTTTGGAAACACTTGAGCTTTTGATGTGCGTGCACTTACCCGTCCCAGTGGCACAAAGTCACCGAGTCGAACTCGCACATCTGCCACCGGCTCGCGGCTAGAAGACTTCAGGGACAGGACTCTTGAAAACGTCAAGGGTCTGCGCGAAAGCCCTTTCTCTCTCAGCTCTTCGTGAAAGCTTCCTCCCCGGATCGGTACGCCCCATTCTTCTTTTTTCATAGCTTTATTATTGCTATTGCAGATTGCATTCTGTGGTTTTGCTAGTACCATTGCTGCACATCTCCTGGTATTGCGAGGACTACTCAAGGACCTTCTCCCGGCGCTGCTTTGGCGCGCGGGCGCGCACACATGGGCTGCTACGGGCCCGCTCCATCAAGCGCCACCATGGCCGAGCATCAGAGCATCTTCAGCAATACGAGCCGCTCTGGGATTTTGGATTTATCAGGGTCAAGGGGTCCAGGGGTCGGGATTTAGAGGTTTACGGTTTAGGGATCAGGGCTTTCGGGCTTTAGTGACCTCTGTGCTTATCAGAGGCCGAGGGTTTAGGATTAAGGAAGGTTTAGGGCTAAGGGTGGGGGGTTCAGCGCATCGCTTTCGGGGTTTGGGGCGTGGGCTCTGGTGCAAAAGCCGCAGGATACGAGCTCACCCCCCCTACGCGAAGCTAAATGTGTGAACAAGCGGGCACGTTTGCTCCAAATATGGTGACATTCGGCCTCTCACGAATTGGCATTTGCCTTCCATGACGCCGAAACCCAACTGAAACCTGTAGCGAACCAGACGGCCAGCAGGGTGCATGGCATGAGACACATCATGTATTTGGAAAGTGTTCCACTGTACAGTTCCCTGTAAAGTACCTATACGTCCTTCAAAGATCGTCAACTATAGCAAATTACAACAACTGAAGGGAGGAGGGGAACGAGATTTGAAGCCACTCTCAGGTAACCACGCAACATTCAACAAGGGTCGTGCGGATACACTTTTGGGGGGATGCTGTCAGATGCTGTCCCATGGCCTTTGCCATTCTGTGAGAAGTGCCTCAGATGCGCACCTTGGTAGCGACTCGGCAGAAAATCTTTTACTTTACGGAAAATGGGCTCTTAGGTCACTCCCTCGGAGACGGTCGGGCATTCGGGCCGAAACCCAAAGCTTCGGCAAATTTGGCGACGCGCTCGAATGCTTCGTATCGCAAGGAAGGAGTGTACAGGCGCTGTCCCTCGGGGAAAGGCAGTCCATGTCCGACTGCCTTCAAAATGCCAAAGACCCCGCCAAGGCCTTCAGTATTCCCGATGCGCTTATCCATGCAATAGCCTACGGTCAGAGTGTAGCACTGTCCCTGCTCATTGAAGAGCATAGACTGTGCTTGCGGGGGAGCCTCAATGCGCTTGTTTGTGGGAGGGATCGGGCGAGCAAAGTTCAGTGTGCCAGTGTGTGTGCCTGTGGCACGGGCAAAGAACCAAACTCGATTCGGCTCCAGGGGGTCTACCTGAAACCAGCTGTTGTCTGCCAAATCTGGCACGGCCTCCTTGAGCTTGAAAGACCCGAAAGCCTTCATGAACTCCTCTTTCCCAAGCGGGCCTATGATGGGTGCCACGAACTGGAAATCCTCTGCCAGGCAGTCAGCCTTCGCCCCCTGTTTAGTTCCAAATTCGCTACCCATGATCTCCTTCGCCATGGCGATGAGCTTCTCGGGAGGGATCGGGAACTTGCTCTGCGCCATCGTCTTCTCAACATCCAAATCTCCGAGAATCGAGTTCTCGGATGCGTAGACCGGAGTGTTGGAGTAGCGCGGAGGATGCCAGGCCACCTTGTTGCGACTGGTGTTCCTCCCGCTCGAGCAAACCCAATCGATCAGGTCCACGATGCCCAGAGAAACTGCCCGAAGCAGGCTTACCAGAGCATCTGTCCCACCCAGAACTACGGCAGTGGAAAGGTTCCCACAGGCTGAAACTGAGGAGCCCATTCTCTGTTCTAGGACTCTACCTGCGGCTACCTGACGGATCTAGGGCGGACAACTGCCAGAACCATTGGCGCGCGGCACATGCTGCATCTCCTCAAATGAGAAAACAAGCAACACCGATTGAAAACTCTACTAGTAGGTGCCTTCGCCCTGAAGGGATGGGAGGTGGTTCATCTGCCATTTTTGAGCGCTCAGCCCAAGAGGTCAACAATCGGCCAAGATGGCTCGAGCCATTAACGTCGTGCAGCCTAAGCCTGCCCCGGCCCCGGCATGTCCGGGGTGAGTGAAACTGTCTGAGATGCTTGGAGGCTTGAAGCGGACACTGCCAGGATGCCCCCGACCACATGCCCCGTCCCGAGTCAGACGCTGCTGTAGGAGCTGCGCAGAGTCTTCGGGAGCCTCGGCAGTCTCAGAGCGGCGACAGTGCGGGCAAAGGGGGCCGCACTAGCACTAGGGCCACAAGGGTTCCCTTTTGCCATGGCACAATGCAGTGCTGGCTTTGGCATGCTCAAAGATTGCCGCACCAGCCAGTACAGCTGCAGCACCAACCTGAGCAGCTTTCCGGAAAAGGTCTGCTTTTCTCCACTACAAGTCTACAAGTGCTAAAGCAGCTCGTAAACTACTTGCTCAGCTCTGCCCAAGGCCGTGACAATGAAACCCAGGCTTAGCCGCTCATGCAGAAAGGCACTGGACCTCACATGCAACGTGTTTCTTTAATGCAGCCGGTGCGAGACATGCGATGTTTCGTTGCTTCTGCTGTTACATACTCGTTATGAAAGGTCGACCCCGGTGTCAGCTTCCTGTCGCCATCGCCATCGGCAAGAGTTCTTGATTGAATTTCTGGCCCTTGTTCGTGTCACTTCAACCTGCGGTCAATCTTACAGGGTCCTAAGGCCGGGACAAAGCAACAGTCACCAGAATGTTGAGCTTCCCAGCTATCTGCGCTGCCGCCGCTCCAAGCATCTTAATCAAGACCATGCCTTGCGCACTGCAACAGAACCCAGCGTTCGATAGCCGGTGAGACAGAGCCAGTCCATGCCAACACTTCCATCGGAGGGGGCAAGGCATGGCAAGGCACCCATGAGGCTGAGGTAGACAGCACACGCCGTGCTGAAGGCCAGCCTCAACATGAGGGGCGCTGTCATCAGCCAAAATCCACGAGGTACAATCTACGGCAAACCTCTGAGGAGCCCTGTTAGCTAGGGCAGCTAGGGGGCAGAAGTGCCGCCGAAGTGTTGAGAGACAGGAGCTCCATGTAAGGCTTCCAGCCCTCCAAAATCAACGTGAGAGCAAAGCCCAGCACAAAGACCTGCATTCAGGGATCAGATTAGGCTGCAGCTTGCAAGCTGCAAGGTTCCCGGTGTGCTGCCCGAGCGCTGCTGGCGATGCCAGTGCGACGACTCGCGTCGGCTTTAATCGCGGACAAGCCTGGCAAGCAAAGCTCGGTGGAATGGCAAGCTCACGAGGAACTAGTCGAAAGGAATAAGAAAACTAACTAAAGTTTTTGAGGCATCGGAAGCCAACCCTTCAGAAGGGCTAGAGACGGCTGCAGTCGACCGTACGAAGGGTACTAGACAAGTTGAGACAAGGAGCAGCGAGACCTTTCAAACGACTCCCTCAACTGCCCGAGTCTCTTTCGGACGGCTGGTATCCTTCTAGGTCACGAGCACATTTGATTACATTCAACAACAGAAGCACGAAAGAGGTACAGCTGCAAGCATCTGGCAATGCTAAATCCCCTCATCGCGCCTTGTCTGCCGCGTACTCGTTCATCTGACAATCCATGAGCACCGATCGGACTGACCTCGCGAAGAGGGCACCTCAGCTTTCAAAAAGGGACTGCCAAGACAATCTGCAACAGCCCTACTTGTACCACACGCATCCAAGGGACCTACACCCAGGCTCATACCAAAGACTGCGAGGGAGAGAGGCTCGGAGCCGCTCTTGGAAATATTCTTGAGGCCCTCGATGGAAATCACGGCATCCTTCGCCAAGATGAGGGGTTGCAAAATCTGACCCTTGCTCCCTCAAGCTTTCAGCCAAGGGACTCCCGCAATGGCGATCACCTTCGTTCCCATCTTCGTGTGTCAAAGCCGCCAAGTCGTTGGGACAGAGAACACTTTCTGGCCAGGTCACCATTCCCGCCCAAGCCAAGGAGTTGATGCGAGCGCCCAGCGTCGCAGAGACCAAAGCTGTGAGGACCTGGAGCTCAAGCTACGCTTGCCGATTAGGAAACTGGTCACTGCGACTTCCATCTTAGGCTCCTGGCTGGGCACAGTATGCCTATGATGGCATTGAAACCCGCACCAATGTACAACAGCGAACACGTGTTCCTGGGCGTCGAGGCTACGATCCGGCGGGCTGGCGCCGACCATGTATCCGTCAAGCAAACACCCTGTCCCCACATGGAACAACAGCATCCTCTACAATCCAAACAGACACACTGACAGAAAAACAAAGAGTATTCTTCACATATATACAAGTATGGATTACAAAAAACATATTGTTTTGATCAGCGATCCTTCCGCAGGTTCACCTACGGAAACCTGAGTCACTGCTAGGTGTGCTTGTCTCCTTGTGCCCTGTTCCGTGCTCTGGATGTCCCTAATCAGCAGCCTTCATATACGGAAAAACCCTGCAATGTCACCTGAGTCCTTACAAGCTGCAGAACCACGTTCAACGTCTGGAGCACCGCAATGGGCAGAATCCGCTTCACGTACCACTCTGCATTGTCGTAACCGGAACTCTTTAAGTCCTCAGCCGATTGAACTCAAGAAATCTCCAGTGCCTCCAAGATCTGACTCCGAGTCGCCATCAGAAGCCTGTCCTGAGCCAGAAGCCGAAGAAACTTCCGTCGCTCGACTCCGGTGCCTCGCCTTCGCACCGGACCGCCGCTCGACGGCCCAAGACGCCAGCCAAACGCAAAGGAAGTGCAGCGAAGCCTTTGCTGGGCGATTGAAGTGGAAGTCTTAAGTCGTAGCCACGCCTGAACTCGGTGCAGGCACAGCAGCGATGCACGTGGGATACACGAAGCCCGTCTGGAGCACCTCAAGCCACCAAGGTCTGCCATGATGATAGTCACGGCATGACACGACTACACCGGTGATGCTACTCACAAACGTAATGGCAACTAACAGCAATAACGATGGTAAGACAAGCTGGCACAACGCCAACACCGACTGTGATAACCTCGACTCAGTGAGAGAAATAGCAGCTGCCCACCTAATGATGCCAACAACTCCAGTCATGATGACGATGGTGATGATGATG